ACTAATGAAATGTTTACCATAATATAAAGAACAACTTGTTGTTTGAAATTTTTTTTTTGATTTTATAGGAACTGCAAGAAATTGGGAAAAAGTAGACGGTACGGATGCTTTTCTATTTTAGATTTTACGGTTTATATCAGAGATGTTCGGATTCCGGATTTCGAAAAAGAAAACGTATTACTCTTTTGATGTGAGGAAAACTAGCTTCTATCAACAGTCTATAATCTATTGTGTGCACAAACTATTTTTTTTTGATTGATTTCCAATCAAAACTTTCAAGTCAGCTTTCCAAAAAGTTGCGATGGTCCATTGGCAGTCCGTCGATGGCCCGTCGGTTCTCCTGCCAACTAGCATTCGTTCGTCAGTTTGCGCCTCTTCAACTGTCATTTAACAGTTTTCCGGCAGCTCTTTTGTCTGGAAATATCACAAATAATTTATCAGTTCAATATTCTTGATATCCTTCACAGGAACCGAGATAACTTGTCTCAAAATTTACAGTTAAAGGGGGGGGGCTCTCATTACATGTTTTACGGTATGTGGAGAATTTCATTACACGAGACTTTGCCTTCTAAACATTTACTAGCCATCTGACCGCATTCTCAGATCGTTTGGACCCCATCAAACGACATGTTCTACCTCTCTCCCATCAGAAAAGTTGTATACATTTTCCGGTGGAAGTGCATATAATAGTCCACAAAACCTTCTTCCTGTTGCTATACACCTGTCCGTATATTCTAATATCACAGGTTTTTAGGAAGGTGACGTGGCACCGTAAATGAGATTATGAGTCAGTAGAAAATGACACATATTGTATTCAATAGAAAAACCAATGTTTGTATTCATATGTAGTGGTGAGTTTAGACCAAGATGACGCGACGGTTTTTTTTGGTTTGAAACATTTTTGGTGACATACACAATATTTTACCAGTCGGTTTACGCCCCTCCGGGGCTAAACCTCCTGGCCTCCGGTCGCCCTCCACCAAAACGTTGATTTTGAAAAAAGTGTTTCAAATACAAATTTTCGTGTCTTTTGAATTTCTGGAATCCCGAATTTTCGAATTATCAGGTTTGAATTTGCTAATTTCCGAATTTCCAAAATTCTAATTGCCCGAAATTTGTGAATTCAGAAATTCCTATTTTCAGGTTTCAGAAAATTCGGGAGTTGAAAAATTGAAAAGTCCAAACTCAAAAATTTTGATCCAAAATCTCACCAATTCGAAAACTCTGAAATTCTAAAAGTTAAATGTAGATAATAAGAATTTTGAAACTCCCAATATTAATTTGAGTAACCTCCGAATCTAGATTTTCTGAATTTCCGATATTTTATCATATTTTGAGATCTTTGGACATTTTTGTTGTGGTTTCAGAGCTTCCAGCTTTGTATCCAGCTAACTTGGCTCTTCATTTAAAAAAACCACTGAAAAGCTTCGAAATAGAACTAAATTTTCCTTCCTACTTGATATCGAATCGGGAAATTTTGAAAACTCCTTCCCGCAATACCACTCGAACCGATGAGAGAAAATATCACATATTCTCTTTCCCTTCTGAACTTATTTAAAAAATTAAAAAAAAAGAAGTTGCCGCCTTCCGGACTCGAACCCGCGTAGCGAGGACAAAAGCGTAGTGCCTTAGCCACTACACCACGGGTCAACACACACAGGTAAAGCGGCAAGTCCCACCAGCGGGCGAGCGGAGTCTAAGCGGCGAACAAGTCGCGGTCGAAGAGTGCGGCACTCCGACGGGCCGCCGTTCAGCCTTTTGCGGTGAAAAATCGGGCAGCAGCTCCGCTCCTCCCCAGGTTCTGATATTTTCTGTAAACCGAAAACAGGCTTTCCTCATGACAAGTTTATTATTAAAAAAAAATAGAAAATTACAAAACAAAAAGAAAAAAATCACATAAAAGAATGAAACAGCGAGAAATTGAAAATGAGAAGTTTCGCCTCCTGGCTCGTTTTGCTTTCGATCTTTTTGTTATCATCCCTTTGTTTTCTCAATCGAGTTGTCCGGTCGGAGAGCTGCTTGAAGTTGTTGCCTTACTCTGAAAAATTGTACGAATTATGAAATTTCCGTTTTCCCGGTGAAATTTCGTTAAGTCAGGTGCAAAAAAATCAGTCTGATTATGCTAACGGGATTCTACAGTTGCTTTTGAACACACGAGTTCTGTGTTAATTGATGTATCTTTAGAGAGCTCTATACTATAGTATTGCCAGAATTTCTACACTTGCATTTCGTGTTTGCAGAGTCAGTAAAAAAATCCACGACGTTTCGCACAGAGTCTCAAACACGAAGGTGACAGCTCCCTGTTTCGAAAATATTATGAAACTTTCAGCGTTTTCTGGTTTTTAAAACATAAATGACCAACCTTTTGAAGTCCCTTTGTCGGCTCAGCTTCTTTGCCTTGTCCCGTGCACAGCGAAGACGGCGGTCGCTCGCAGCACTCTTTGGATCCAGTACTTCTAGTCTAAAAATGAGTTCAATAAGTAACTGAAAACCGTGATTGTCTCTTACCTGTCATTTTACTGGCAGAAAATCCTCCTTTGCTTGCTTGAAGTCAACGAGCGATGACATCTCCGTGTGAAATCCGTCGGAAGGCCTAAAAATTTTTTTGAAACTCAGCCGATGAAATACGAGGAAAGCAGCTATAAACGATGAAAACGTGGTCTGCGAGTTAGAAAATACAAAAAACTCGAAGTGAAACTGTTGAAAACCAAAGTAAATCGAAGGGAATAGGCGGAAATTTCTGAAAAAAAAGCGAGTGTATTGAAGATTGGAAATTGTCTTTTGAATTCTTTCAGAATCTTTCGTGAAAAAGCATTGTGTAGTTTTACGCTAAACATTGCGCGCATGCGGGATATCGGAGCGTCGTTGCTCATTTTTTCAACGAATTTTGCAGATTCATTCGGCAAACAACTCCGAATAATGCAGAAAAATGACAAAATATAATGATCTAAAAATTGGAATAGAACATACAAATCGATTTTTAACATAAAAACACATTTTCGACTGATTTCTGTATGGGTGATGTCGCAGCAAGAAAATTAAAAAATTCTCGAAGACAAAATTGTGACCAAGTCGGATTGAAACCCTGTATTCCGCCTTATTGTTGTTTCTGTGTCAATTTCAACAAATGGCGGTTGAAAATCTTCCTCGAGAGATCATTTTCCTTTGAGAGCGTTATTTTTCCCCCCTTGACTTCTAACTTTGAGACAATTTATCTCGATACCCGTAGTAGATATAAAAAATGTCAACTGATAAAATGTTGATCATAATATCACAAAAATTTTATCAGTTGAAACATTTTTCATATCACTTACTGTAACCGAGGTAAATCAGGTCAAAGTTTACAAGGTGGGCCCTTTTATTACAGGTTACCGTAGGCCAGTCAAAGAAGTTTTTTGGCCCCAGTCAAGGCCCCAGTCAAAGAAGTTTTTTCGCTCTTTTCTGATGCTTCATCCGAACGTTCGGAGCATTCTTTTGAATTTTAACTAGTTTTTAAATACTTTGTGCATCTGAAATCTAACATTATTTTCTCACCCTATGCCGACATTCCCCCGCCAGTAGCCCGCCTGCGCTCACTCAGCCGCCGTTCAGCCGCCAATCGTCCGTTCAGGGTTGTAGAGAGGTTTCTGATGAAAATTTGAAAAACGTATCGTTAGAATTCGATTTCTTAGCGATTCCGACAAAAATCACAAAAAGTCAAAAATTTCCCCATTTTTGGGTGGCCCGCCGACGGGCCATCGTTGGCCCTTCAGCGGTCTTCAGCCGCGAGTCGCCCATTTCTGCCACACCTGCGGCCGCTCAGACTCCCTTCGTCCGCTATTGGGACTTGCCGCTTTACCTGTGCAAGAAAGGTGAAAAACATGGCGTACACGTGTGTGTTGGTTTTCCTCACCAACTCCCTCTCTCCCTCCTCTCTCGCACCCTCTGCCCATCACGCTTTACTGTGGTGAAACAAAGGAACGTCTCCAGAAGATTTCAAAATCGAAATTTCGAAAATAGAAAGGGTCAGGCCATAACTAATAAAAATTTCCGATTCGTCTGTCCAGGTTTCAGCCCAATCGGTTAACTTTGAATGGGTGAACCGTCACGCGACATACATCCTTACATACGGAATTTGGTGAATGTTGTTAGTAATGATATTGAGTTCGTAACAATAAACCGTGCTACTGTAAGCAGAAGGGACTCTGAAGAAGATTCCTTCAACTACAGTAATCCATGGTAACCTATTCCCACTGCCAATTAAAGCAATCCTCAGAGCTGAAGCCGTTCGAATTGAAAAGTGAAAGGAGAGATGGTAGAAATGGAAATTATTCCATCCATTTCTCTGTTTGAAATGTCCTTTATTCTTCCCTTTTTTCTCATTAATCACACCCTCAAAATGGCGCCATCGTTCCGTGGTGAAATGGACGAAATAAAAACATCTGTCGTTTTGCCTCCGGGTGGTTTGTCCTTGATTCCGATTGAATAATAATTGGGGATAAGAAAGAGGGAGAAAGCTTGGAATCGTCCTGAAAATTTGGAATAGAAACAAGCAGGGATGGGGGTTCAAGACGATTCTAAATTGTGGATGCGACGATGTTTCACACAAGTAAATTCATAGAAGATAATGTTCCTCACATCAGACTAACTCAAAAAAATAGGTTTTTGAACGACTGCTAAATGACAGTCGAAGAAGCGTTGATTGATCAAGGATGGGTGATTGGCGGATTGTATTTCTGCAGAACGGAGAATTCCGTTTGAAATTTGGAAAAAAACATTTTTAAACATTGAGGAAACATTCAACCTATTGCAGCTTCGTCGCCAATTGAATGTGAAATGTGATTCTGTCAAAAAGGACATTTGCTCTGCGTACACTGCTGTTCTCAATAATAATAATAAGGCAATTGTTATTAGTTTCAGGTAATTCCAGACAACAGATTTGTCTGATTTATTTATTTTTGGCTTCAGAGGAATTCAAGGATTTCAGCAATCGATTGAGGAAGCGGATAAATCAGTTTTCCCATCTCAATCCCAATGAATTGAGAAAGTATCAGAATGCCTATCCAAACTCCAAAAAAAACTTCGTAAAATCTCCTGCCCTTCCAATTCTTTAATCAATTTCGCACTACTCTTCTAGGAATTTAAAAGTCGACTATGTTCCACAAAAAGGTTGGAAATTGCTGGAATTTTGCTATTAGTCCAATACGGTATCTGACAAGGTGAGTAAAAAGAGAATTAGAAAACGAGTTATATAGGGGTTAAGAAAATGTGAACAGCTAATCTAAACTAGTTCGTGTGTTTTCAAGTATCCACGAATCTACAAAAAACACGACCCAAAAAAGAAATTCAAACCGAAACAATCAGAAGTTCAAAAGTTTTATCCGCGTGTTGACACGACATGGCCCGACCTTGATCCCATGACGTGTTCCACTGACCTCCCCCCCCCCCCCCTTTTCAGAAGTCTCGTGGATCCAGAGATCCAGAGACAATCAGTCCCAACATCGAACACCAGAACAACAACCGCCTCCAGCATTCACCTGTCTTCTGATGCCTGCCTGCCTTCTACGGCATTCTTGGTAATCCGAATCATATCTACGTCTCCATTCTAAAAACATGATTTAGATCGGAAGACTTTGGACAAATAGTTCATAGCAGAGGGATATCCATTGGAGTCCGACTTCCGGACAGGTAAACCTACGCGTCTCTAATTCTCATCTCATAATAGAATTCAGCTCGAATGGAAGAAAATGGATGAGGAACTCCGATGGTTTCCCCAGGCCTCAACCTTGCCGTCATGGATGGATGGAACTTGATGGAACTCGATAGAGCTGGAGAAGACTGCCATTCGTAGCTGGATATGAACATCGAATTTGGTAGGTACGCTATTTTTGTACTATTTTTTCGGGCCTCAATAGCTGTGATCACGTAGAGAACGTACCTTAACTAACTGCTCCGCCCCTTCATTCCCATAGCGATAGGAAGATTCCAAGAATCTGTAACATCGTAAGAAAGTGTCATGAAAACTCTACTAGGATTTTATAGAATCTTCCTGATACCTCCGGAATCTGAGTCTTAGCATCTTCCTCCCTTCAAAGTAGATCCTAGATTTCATAAGATTTTGTTAGAATTCATTTGACATTCTTCCGGTTTCCCTTACACTCTAGAGCCCCGACGGATATGGCTGTCTGATAGATCGAAATTCAGAAAGTTTCGAATTTGAATCTTTGCATTTTTTTCTTTCTCACTTTCTCAAACTTCGAAACCCTCAAACTCAAAACGTTTCAAATTCTGAAAATCGGAATTTTCGAATTACAGGTTTCTGGACACTTACAGATCCTAGACTGACAGATCAGATTTGGAAACTCGGAAGACTCGAAAACTTAAGAATTCAGAAATTCAGAAAAAAACCGAGTTTTTATTTGAAGCAATGTTCCTTCGAAATCATTCAGTTTTTGAACATCCAAATTCTTTGTATTCGGAATACCTCATTTTCCGATGTTAAATGATTTAATTACCGAAAATTTCGAGTTCCATAATTATAAATTTGTGTAACTCTCAAATTGTAAGGTTTCAAACTTCCGGAAAAGAATATTCTCTGAACAATGACTGTACTGTCAGCGGAGAGGGCACACCAACTGGGAGGAAAACAAAAAGTGGGAAGAACCATCTGAGAGGAAAAATGGGCGGAGTCGGGGGCGGAGCCTAATTTGCAACCCTGGCACTGTTTTGCCGCATGGTTTTTTCATGACCAGGTACCAAATGATAAAAATAAACCGTGACAGGGTTGCAAATTAGGCTCCGCCCCCGACTCCGCCCATTTTTCCTCCGGTTCTTCCCACTTTTTGTTTTCCTCCCAGTTGGTGTGCTCTCTCAGCGGAGGCCAGGAAGTTCAGCCCCGGAAAAGGTAACTGACTGGAATTCAATGAAGTCACACAATTTTCGTTTCTTTCCTCGATATTTTCTGTGCTCATTTTGAGTTCCGTCTTCTTCCATAAAACTGTCATAAACGGCTCTTTCGTTATCATCTCGTGGCTGAAACGCATAAAAACTGAATTTCACTTTTGTGTCTTTGAATTAAGCATGCGGTCGATGGTTTTTGCCGTTTTTCTTGTATTTTTGAAGTATTCCAATGCTCGTGTCATTGTGGAACCAGTTTGTAAGTTTCACAACTCGATAAGAGAATTGCTACTCAATCAAGACCATAGATGCATGGACAGTCCCTTGTTCGTTGTTTGTCCGTTTTTGGCTGTCCGTTGTCCGTCGTGAAAAATTTCACTTTCCATGCAGCTATGATTAAAACTATCAATTCAATTTAGTTTATGACCTTGCTCTATTACAAATTTGAAATAAGATTTTAGCACTAGCAACTTATGATGATGGTGTTGCTCGTAACAGTTTCTTCCCATTGGCCGCTGCCGCCTATTCATCAAATCCACAAAAATGTCTCACAGCTAAATTCACAAACGCTCAGGTAAAATTGGCAGCATACAAAGTAAAGGGACACTGGCGAAATACCGCTAAATGACGGCTCCCGGCCATTTCGCAGCCAAACATTTCGCAGCCAGACATTTCGCAGCCAGACATTTCGCAGCCTCTGATAACGTCAAAAAATCAGAATTCCAAATTCTTCGGTTTTGAAAAAAGTATATTTTAATGTCAGAAATTGAATTTTCGAAGAATTCGGCTGAAAAAATAGCAAGCAAGTATTCAATCAATGGAAAACTGCTAAATCTTCACTGTTATGATATTTTTTAGAATTTCTTTTTTTACAATTTCTTTTTTTTTTCTTTTAGAATTCCAACTTTCTAAAATCTTATATTTAAAAAGAAATTCTGAATAACAATGAAGATTTAGCAGTTTTCCATTGATTGAATACTTGCTTGCTATTTTTTCAGCTGAAATTTGATTTTTTTTTCAGCCGAATTCTTCGAAAATTCAATTTCTGACATTAAAATATACTTTTTTTTCCAAACCGAAGAACTTGGAATTCTGATTTTCTGACGTTATCAGAGGCTGCGAAATGTCCGGCTGCGAAATGTCCGGCTGCGAAATGTCTGGCTGCGAAATGTCTGGCTGTGAAAAGTCTGGCTGCGAAATGTCCGGGAGCCCTAAATGACAGTCGAAGAAGCGTTGACTGATCAAAGATCAGTGGTTGGCAGACTATTTTTCTGAAGATTGGAAAATTCGGTTGGAAAAATATATTTTAAAAGTATTTGAGAAATATTAACCAAACTTTCTAACAATTCCAGCTTCGTCGTCAACTGAATGTGGTATGTGACGCTGTCAAAAAAGACATTTGCTCTGCGTACACTGCTGTTCTTAACGATAATAAGGCAATTGTTATCAGTTTTAGGTAATTCCAGACAATACATTTGCCTAATTTTTTACCCGTTTTTTGGTTTCAGAGGAACTCAAGGATTCCTTCAATTGATTGAGGAAGCCGATAAATCTGTCTTCCAATCTCAATCTCCATGGGTTGCCGGTGGGAAAGTATCCAAATATTTCGGAGATGCATTCAACACATTGTGGAATGCTGGAATGAAAGATGATGTTTCCTCTCTTCTTCACAAGAATCCAACTTTCGAAGTTTGGGTGACTGGGCACTCTTTGGGAGGAGCCATGGCTTCTCTTGCTGCTTCTTATATTGTTAAAAATGGAATTGCCACTGGAGACAAAGTAAAATTGGTCACTTATGGACAACCAAGAACTGGAACTACTCCGTTTGCAGTTGCTCATGATGCTCAAATGGCCTATTCGTACAGAGTGACACACAACAGAGATATTGTTCCTCATATTCCAAATGAGGGAATGGAAGACTACAAACATCACAAGTCTGAAGTAAAGAGAATATCAGAGACTTCAAATATGAAATTGAATTTCAGGTTTTCTATAAAGAGTCCATGAACCCTGGAGCATCATACAAAGTTTGCTCATCGGCTGACGAGAGTAACGATTGCTCGAATGGACTGTTGATCACTGCTTCCGTCTCCGACCATCTCACTTATTTCACCAAAGACGTTTCACAATGGGGAGAAGCTGGGTGCAACTAACTTTCTTACAAACATTCTTCTAACTAATAACATTTTCATTCTGCCAAGACACTTTTTCAAATCTTTGGCAATTTTATTTTCATACAGAATCACTAATCATGGCATTACGACAAGAAGAAACGAATAAAGAAATTCAGAGGGGGAACAATAGAAGTTTAATAGGAAATATTTTTTTGACTGGAGCATAAAAATCACAGAACTCGGTAGATGAGCCTTTTCTCAAAAAATTGGTAGATTTTAAAGAAAAGAGCGAGCAAAAAAGTAAAAAAATGTCCCGTTTGCGAGTGTTGTGTACGAAATCGAGAAAAAATTGACTTCGGTTACAAAAAAAGTGGCCATATGGAATTAAGGAAAACGTAAAGTAGGAGGAAGTGATTCACCGGCATTTGCTGACAATGTGAACATTATTTAAAGGGGGAAAAATCAACAAAAAGGGAACTTAATGGGAATAAATCTCGTTAAGTCTTATACAACTAGGAAGAGGTGTCCGTTCAGCATCTCTCATCATCGCCTCATCTCGCATCCAGCGTGCTCGATATAATTTTGTTTCTTCTGAAATTTTTTTGGAATTACCACCTGCATGGCAAAAGGAAAACTTACTAAGATTCTGTTCTTTGTAACAATTCATCCTCAAATTTTGAATATAATCATCTTCAACCTGTTGTTCGACTTGTCGGATTCGTCCTCGATACGAAGATTCAAAATCCGATCGTACAAAATATGGTACTCGCAATTCAGCCGTCATACGCTTTACTGTGTATTTCCTGAAAAAAATTCGGCTTTCGTTTCTCGTTGCTAAGCATTCGTCGAATTTGTTTTTCTTTCCAGATATACTCTAGTTTTAAAGACAGGTGCTTTCAAAAATGGAATTGGAAACTCACGAAGTTTGATGAAGTGAAAAGGCGGGCTCTCCAACCATGATTTGCGCCAACAATCCAATGACCATAATAGCGATAAGTGGCAGCAATTGGAGAAGTGGACCATACGGAGTTTGTTGTTGCTCGTAACGATGATATTGCTGCTGTTGAGCATGTCTTGCACGCCGCCGCACTTGTTCCGTTGGGAAACCACCTCCGAAGAACATGTTGAAGATTTCCTCAGGCGTGAAGTCGGCTGAAACAATAATGATTGATTTTTTCTCCAGAAAAAAAAGAGAATATTATTGGAATAAGAAACAATTAATCAGAATCCTTAAAAGAAAATCATACCTTCAAAACCGTGAGCGTAGTCATGCTCAAAGAAAACACCGCCACCTCCTCCTCGTCTTCTTGTGGTAGGCGTGTGGCCATTCGCAGCTTCAGCTCCAAACTGGTCGTATTGTCGCCGTTTGTCGGCATCCGAAAGAACAGCATACGCGTTGCCAAGAGCTAAAATTTTGAAAATGAAAATGAATGACACAGATTGATGGAAAAGTCTTACCTTTGAATGCTTCTGTCGCATGAGGAGCTCTACACTTATCAGGATGCAATTTCAAAGCCATTTTACGATATTCTTTGCGAATATCGTCGTCACTCGCTTGCTTGTCAACTTTCAAAATCTCGTAGTAATCCTTACAATGGCGAATTCGTTCCACTAACTCTTTCTGCTCACTAGTGTAATCTACGCCAAGTTTGGGTGTCCTTGACGCAGAACGCGGTTTAGGCTCGGGCTCAGTTTTCCCATTTTTCTTCACAGGACTTCTTGCTTTCCGATTTCTAAGATTCGGTTCGTCGTAATGGTCGTCATGCGCATAACTTCGTTCTTCTGAAGCCCGTGAAGAAGATGATTGGGAAGAGGATGTGGTCATTTCATCAATCTTCTTTGTTAGAACTGCAAAATTATTTTATTTTTAATTTGATCTATTAAGAAATTAGGAAATCATCCAATTTGGTAGTAGATAAACTTTTAAAAGTAAGTCCCATTTTTTCCTTTACAACTGTCCAATGCGAACAAGCTCTCGAGTTACATGTCCTTACGTTTCAGGCTCAGAAGTTCCTGTTTCTCTTAGTGTTTTTATAGACGTAGAGATGAAAACAAGTGAAGAAATTGAGTGAGAAAAAAGAAAAGAAACCGCTCCCGTTTCTCTCACTAAGTGGTTGTAATAAACGAGATCCTTCAGTGATGTATCTTTCATCTTATCGTGTTGGTCATTTCAGTTAGGGGAGAAGGGTTCAAAAGGATAAGAACGATAATTATGGGAAGAAGGGATGATTTAGGACATATTCGGCAAAAAGAACTGAGTCTTGTTCATATTGAAAACTGTCAATTTATTTTTCTTCAGATATCCAATAATTTAAACTGATAAATACTTACATTCGATGTTCTGCCCAGGATCCAACTTTTTTGCTTTTAGTAGCATACGCCGTGCTTTATCCGTATCTCCAGACTAAAAATTAAGAGTTACATATTAACCGAATTGAATAAAAACATACTTTAATAGCCTCTCGAGCTTTATCCATGCATAACAAAGACTCACTTCGATTTGCGTCTGCTGTCATTTTGGCCTGAAAGAATAGAAAATTAGGCTATCGATTCTGAAGAATCCACGTGTAATAAGAGAAGAATGCATCAAAAATGGTATTAGAGGATTAACCTAATATCTAGAATTCGTGGAACGATACAAGGAAGCATAAAAACGGATGCGGGAATGGAATGAACCTTTTGGAATCAGCAGCGGGTCCTCAAAATGTATGTTCGCAGTTTTGCAAGAAGAGATATTTCTCCAAGATCTGAGATAGTACGGAAAAGAGCTCGACGCAGAGAAACGAGTCGCAGAGTAGCCAACGTAGCCCAAGAAGCGGCGAGTGACTAACTTTCAATTATTGATCGGACTAGAGTGTTTGCGCTGGGGCGCCTTTGCGGGTTTCCATGAAAAATAACTATTTTTAAAAATATTCTGAAAATAACCAAGACTTTGTGTTTGAGAACCTTTTATTAAAGACATTGACCTCATTTGCTTGGTAATAAAATGAAGTTTTGTTGGCTGCTTTAATCTGTTTTAATATAATCGAGCCAAATATGTGTTCGCTTTTTGAGAAAAGTAAAGTATGGCGCAAAAAGGCAAAAAATTGAAAAAATAAAAGAAAATCTGAAAACAAACAACCGCACAAATCGTCGCTAGACTGTAATCGTTGCGATGCCGAAATAATTTTTTCGGCCTGTTCCTTTAAACTACCGTAACCTGAAGCTTTTTTTTGGCGAGATTAACTTTTCGGAATTTTCAGATGAAACGACTCTGGAACAAAATCGGGTCCGGTGTGAAAAACGCCAATCATTTAAAAATGTCGATTGAAGAAGTTGCGAAAATCGAAAAAGGAGAGACCAAGGTTGGTATTTGTTCATTACAAAAGCAAAATAATTTTTTCAGGTCGTTCCGCCAAAATACCCTACGGAGAAGATTCGCGAAGTCAGTGAAAATGTCAAAAAAGAGCTAGAAACAAAAAATGAGCATTTGGTTGAGAATATGAATAAGATGAATATCACTTCAACTGATCCAGTTGAGAGGTGGACATCGACAAAGTGAGTTTTCAGAATCCAGATGCCTAATATTAATTTATAAATATAGAGATCTTCCAACTCGCGAATCTGAATTTCTTCACCGTAATGATCCAATGTGGGAATATGGTTTTTACGAGCCGCCCGTCGAACGGATTCCAAAAGACAAGTTGATGTTCAGAGAAGCACTCGAATACTTACGATGTCGCCAAGAATTACTTTCAGAAACTAGTTCAGAGCCACAAAGGTATTATTGATTTTTGAAAAAGTTTTGGAAATCATCTGAAATTTAGGAAACAAGCAGCTCAATTAATGTCAGATCATGTTGTCACAGCTCGAGTGAATTCGGAAACCTTGGATGACATTTACGAATACTTCCGGCCATTTGAACGAAAGGACAAACAGAAGGTAACATCAAGTACTAAAGTATTGAAAAAATTGTTTGAATTACAGGTGGTTAATCGGCATGCTCTTGCAGAGCTTCAGGATCATTTACAAGGTCATTCAGATGAGAGAAAAATTCTGGATGAAGCACAGGACGTTGGAAAGAAGCTGCGCCAAATTAGCGACAATGCGAAGTTCCTCGACGAGTATCAAAGAGTTAGTTCTTACGAAAAAGTGATCCAGTTTATAAAATGAATGATTTTAGCTGGAAGACCAAGAGAAGGAAAAAGTTCGCGAAGCAATCGCCCAACTTCGACAAGAAGAACATGAACGCCTGAATAAGAGACTTGGACAGATAGGAGAAATGGAGAAGTCTGCACAGGAAGCAATGAAAAAAGCTGTTGAAGAAAAGAAGCATAAATAGATTATCATTTTCTTTTATTTTGTTTTTTTTACGTATTTAGATTTAGTTGTTTTTCTGTTTTTTTTTTAATACCTACAGGTATTGCTTGCTGATTTTTTTTGAGTTCGGTCAGTAAATTATTCTAATTAACAATTATTGTCGAAAATATGATATGGGATTGATCCTCTATTCATTTATTTTATGGGGTTATTCAGGGAGTCGCCAAAAAGGAAAAAAAACTCGGAGAGTGTTCCAATCTGGCTGAAACTTTGGAGAAAACTGGAGAAAACTATAGGAAACATTTTGCCAAAGTTTGGGGTCAAAATATCAACTTTGAAAATTTGGCTGGAATTTCAGTTTTCCCCAAAGTTTCAGCCAGATTGGAACACTCTCCGAGTTTTCGCGGAGTTTTTTCCTTTTTTGCCGACTCCCTGAATAACCCCATTAGAGGCTGCCTAGATTTGTGGCTAGATGAAAACACATTTTCGGCAGATGAAAGTTCCACGAGTTGTGATCGGCATGTCGGGAGGAGTTGATAGTGCAGTGTCAGCATTTTTGCTGAAGCAGAAAGGATTTGATGTAGTTGGATTACACATGGTAACTCATTCCAGACAAAGAGAATCAGAAAAGAAAAACATTTCGCAGATAAACTGGGATTCCCAAGAAGAAGGTTCATCTACTTGTCCACGATCGAAAGATGAAGCAGACGCTAGAAATGTGTGTAATAGATTAAATATCCCATTTCACACAGTTAACTTTGTGAAAGAATATTGGAATCATGTATTTCTGTGAGCTTGTGAAAAATTTAACATTTCAGACTACTGATTTCGTTTCAGAAAATTCTTGGAAAACTACAAAATCGGAAGAACCACAGTTCCAGATATTGATTGCAATTATTCAATCAAATTTGACGCTTTTCATAAAGTCGCCCAAGAAACGTTTGATGCTGATTTCATCGCAACTGGACACTACGCAACTACCAGTTTTGGAGACTTTCAGCAAAATAGAAAACATTCAGAAGGTGAAAATTAACATTAACTGCGAATCCGGATATTTGATTTTCTTTTAGCCATTCGCCTATTCTCTGGACGAGATCCTTTGAAAGATCAAACATTTTTTCTATGTACCGTAACTCAGGAACAACTGAAAAGAGCCATGTTTCCATTGGGATCTCTTCAGAAGTCAGAAGTAAAACGAATTGCAGAACAACAGGGTTTTCATAGAGTCGTCAAAAAACCAGAGGTCTTTATCTATCGAATTAACAAAAATACAATTTTGAATTTCTAGAGTATGGGAATCTGTTTTATTGGAAAAAAGAAACGGTTTTCTGATTTTTTGGATGAGTATATTGAGCCAAAACCTGGAAGAATCGTTTTGAAAGATGGAAAACAAATAGGAAAACATCATGGAATTCACCAATTTACAATTGGAAAACGAATACATGGAAAGTATTTGAATGAAAGAAGTCATTTTGGATTTTTTGTTTCCGAGATTAGGTCGGATACTGGAGATGTTGTAGCGGTAGGTCAGAATCGCTTTATAGAAAATGTGAAATGACGTATTCAGTGCAATGGATCTCATCATTCGGATCTCTATGCCACCCGATTTCTTATCAATCGACCAAATTGGATACCATCCTCTGACCCATTGGAAGAGATTTCACCTTCGAAAATCTTGTGTCGAATTCAACGAACCCACCCTCCAGTTCCTTGTAAAGTTGAAAAATCGGAGCACTACTTATCAGTCGAACCCAAAATTCCTTTGAGAGCAACATCTCCTGGGCAAATGTGTGTTTTTTATACAACCGAAAACGAGTGTTTAGGAGGTGGAGAAATTTTCAAAATCGAGAAAACACTGTAATAGTTATATTTTTACATTTGTTGTTGTTATTTGAATAAAACTTCTATTAGAGCTTTCCAGTGATCATTCATTTATCACAGAATTCCTCGGCAACAAAAAAAATCCAATCAAAACGAAATTTACAAAGCAAATTTTATTTATTTAAATTCAGTATGGATTTCGTATTTGTGGCCCTAAAGAGGGCCGTTGGGTTCGGTGGGGTGTTTGGAAGAAGGTTCTTATTCCTTGTCTCCTCCAGTTTTCTTTGGCAGAAGAACGGCTTGGATGTTTGGAAGAACTCCTCCTTGAGCGATCGTGACTCCGGCCAAAAGCTTGTTCAACTCCTCGTCGTTGCGGACAGCGAGTTGAAGATGTCTTGGTGCGATACGGGTCTTCTTGTTGTCACGGGCAGCGTTACCGGCCAACTCGAGAACTTCAGCAGCGAGGTACTCAAGGACAGCGGCCAAGTAGACTGGGGCTCCGGCTCCGACGCGTTGGGCGTAGTTTCCTTTGCGAAGAATACGGTGAAGACGACCGACTGGGAATTGAAGTCCAGCTCTTGACGAGCGTGACTTGGCCTTTCCTCCGGTCTTGGCTTTGCCTCCCTTTCCACGTCCAGACATTGTTGGTTGATGAGCGATTTAGGTCGTAAACGAACTGAAGAAAGATGGTCAGCGGGAGCTTTATATACTTGAGTGTGCGGTGGGTGGGCGGGGCGACCTTTACAGTTAACCACCCTGCGGGGACACATGCTTCGTCTATTGCGCGCACACTCGAATGACCACCAGGCCGATCATTAGCCCCGCCTACCCACCGCAGCCGCAAATAAATATTTCTCCTGGCAACACTTTCCCCAAGAATTGTCAATTCTACTTTCCAAAATGCCACCAAAGCCATCTGCCAAGGGAGCCAAGAAGGCCGCTAAGACCGTCACCAAGCCAAAGGACGGAAAGAAGAGAAGAGCCCACCGCAAGGAGTCCTACTCTGTCTACATCTACCGCGTCCTCAAGCAAGTTCACCCAGACACTGGAGTCTCCTCCAAAGCCATGTCTATCATGAACTCGTTTGTCAATGACGTCTTCGAGCGCATCGCTGCTGAGGCCTCTCGTCTTGCTCACTACAACAAGCGTTCTACCATCTCTTCTCGCGAAATCCAGACAGCCGTCCGTCTGATTCTTCCAGGAGAGCTTGCCAAACACGCCGTGTCTGAAGGAACCAAGGCCGTCACCAAGTACACTTCCAGCAAGTAAATACTTGGTTGATAGCAACCCCACCGAACCCAACGGCCCTCTTTAGGGCCACAAGTACTCAAGAATCCATCATTTTTCAAATAAAGCTTTGTTTTTACCATTGACTGTTTTTCTCGGTTTCTCACGCTAATTCTATCCTAGTCTTTCTTCATAAGATTTAGAACAGCTTCTTTCTTAAATTTGTAAAAACATCTCTGGACAAGGCAAAGGACACCAAACAGTTAGATAGTACTTTGACCCGTTGCAAGCTTGCAAAATTTGGGACAAATATATATTTTTCAGACTAGTAGTCTTGCACCACTAAAAAGATAAGCCTACAGTAACCATTTACATCTCAAAAATACATTAACCCTTCAAAAGGAAAACAGATGGACGTTCAATAAATGAATAATTCCGAATTTTCACTACTGTAATCCATAATTAAGAATTCTGAATTTCAGAATTCAGAAATGTAGAATTTCGGGAATTCTTAAATACTGAAATTGTAAAATTCCAAAGAACCGAAATTCGGAAATTCTAAGATTCCGAAATTCTGAGATTTTGAAATTCTGAAATTTTGATAATCTGGGGGTCTGCGATTCAGATGTGTCAGAGATTTTGATCAGAGATTTTGAGACTTCGAACTTTCGCATATTGTCGAATTAAACAAACTGACACCTGAAAAAGTTCGCGGGCGCTATCGTGTCGATTTACGAGGCATCGCTCCGAAAACGGATACTGTAGATAACAAATTTTTATTTGAATTTTGATTTCTTGGTATAAAAATGATGGCTAGCATCTCTAGAATTCATTTTCCAGCAAAAAGCTAAACTTAATTGCGAAAGTAGCTCGAACGAGACGAAATTCTGAAATATTACGTTTTTGCAGCGCTTTTTTGTAGATCAAAAAAGGCAAAAGTTTTCAAATTCTCAGGTGTCACTTTTTTAATTCGACAATAGTTCCAATTCTGAAATTCTAGGTGTTCTGATGTGAGAGATCTACGTCGATGATGCTGATGATCCAGATTCACATGTTTTCAAAACACTGAACAATCAAAAACTACAGTAATCCGACTTGAATCTACTATTTTCGTTTTGATTGTTTTTTTAATTACAAAAAATAAACAGAAATTCAGCGTGCTGACAACTTTCATGACCTCTTATCTTATCTTATCTCTAGATCTGATCTACGGGTGCTATATAAGCTGGAGAAATTAACGAAAAGTCGGAGCGAGGAGTCGATGAGGAGCCCGATTTGTAACGAGCTTCCAGAGCAGATGGAATGGCAAGGAATCCGACCAATTCTACGAAGACCTCTCCACTGCGAAGCTCGACGATAATCACCGGGATCGGCAGAAAATGGGCAAGAAGACGTTGGATGCTGGAAGGAATTGGATGCTGGCCACTGCCAGGAAGCTTCGGATGCGCTACTCATTGCTATTTCTTTTTGTTTTTTTCAAAGACTGATCGACGTCATTGAAGTAAAAAAAAGTACTAAAAGGCCTCAGGTCGCCATTGTTTGGTGTCCATGGCTAGGTGTTTATCACTGAACGTCCCCCTTTTACCAAATGACCGAAATCAAATTTTCGAAGAAATTGAAATAGCAATTGATAGCGTACGCTGAGCTTTCTGACAGCAAAAGATAAACTGGAACACATCGACTTCTGACTTCAAACGTCCATCTTACGAGTTCGAAACTTTCACTTCCTAATAACTTTTCACATCTCTTTTTTCTCATCAATTTCTTTCTCTTATCAATTTTTTTGGAATTAGGATTACTGTAGCAATGCAAAGCGTACGCATGACTTTCTGGTAGCAGAGGATCTACTGGAACATCGACTTCCGACTTCACGATAACTTTTCGCATTTCTCTCTCTCTCTCTCTTTCACATCGAAGCTATCAAAGGTACGCATGAAAGTATTAAGCCGGATTTTCGATGTGTGCCCTAGTTCGGAAGAAAAATCCGGAAAAGCTAACGGAAAAGCGAATAGCTTTTGAAAAATTTGACTGGACTTGATGGAATTGACTGGACAGGGCATCTGGGAATTAGTACCTCAAACGTCGGTAAGTTTCATTGATATGGTTGTAGATTTTGTGAATAGACGCAATACAGTAAATTTCTGTTCCCGCTCGAAGTTTTACTTTTGCTCAGATCACTTCGTTTTGGAAAAAAGTAGATTCCCTTGCGAGATGTTTTACAAGTAACAGAAATTATAGAATTTATTCAAAGCAATATATATTTATGGATTCATGTGATTTGTGGCCCTAAAGAGGGCCGTTGGGTTCGGTGATTGGTTTGCATGAATGCGAAGGAAATTATCCTCCGAATCCGTACAGGGTTCTTCCTTGGCGCTTCAAAGCGTAGACGACGTCCATGGCGGTGACAGTCTTTCTCTTGGCGTGCTCGCAATAGGTGACAGCATCACGGATGACGTTCTCGAGGAACACCTTCAGGACTCCACGGGTTTCTTCGTAGATGAGTCCAGAGATACGCTTGACTCCACCACGACGAGCGAGACGGCGAATAGCTGGCTTGGTGATTCCTTGGATGTTGTCACGAAGGACCTTGCGATGGCGCTTGGCACCTCCTTTTCCGAGGCCTTTTCCTCCCTTTCCACGTCCGGACATTGTTGAGCGATTGATGAAGACTCACAAGTGAGATGAGGTTTCCGTCGTCTGTGTGCCGGTTTTGTTCTGTCTGCGGTGGGTGGGCGGAGTTAGTTATCTTCACCCTGCGGGGACACATTTCACCTCGCGCTCTCGCTAGCCGAATGTATTGACTCCACCCACCCACCGCAGTGTGATACAAAAGGTTTCGTTTGTCTCAATTCTCTACAGTCCCAATCGGATTATCAACCTATCGCAATGGCTCGTACCAAGCAAACCGCCCGCAAATCTACCGGAGGAAAGGCCCCAAGAAAGCAATTGGCCACCAAAGCTGCCCGCAAGTCGGCCCCGGCTGCCGGAGGAGTCAAGAAGCCACATCGTTACCGTCCAGGAACCGTTGCCCTCCGTGAGATCAGACGTTACCAAAAGTCAACTGAGCTCCTCATCCGCAAGTTGCCATTCCAGCGACTTGTCCGTGAAATCGCCCAGGACTTCAAGACTGATCTCCGCTTCCAATCCTCCGCCGTCATGGCTCTTCAAGAATCTGCCGAGGCTTACCTTGTCGGACTCTTCGAGGACACCAACTTGTGCGCCATCCACGCTAAGCGAGTTACCATCATGCCAAAGGATATCCAACTGGCCAGACGTATCCGAGGAGAGCGCGCTTAAGTACCGTTTTGGTAACTGAGCAAGCTTGATCTCAAACCTTCACCGAACCCAACGGCCCTCTTTAGGGCCACGAATCACATGAATCCAAATTGATTTCGTTAAATAAATTAATTTTTGTTGTTTCTTATAAAAAATTTAGCATGAAAATCCACTTCTCAAAATGATGTCGTTTGAAAAATCCGGTATAACTTCGACCAAGAACATAAGTTTAGTCCATTATTTCATGATGCACGAAATCTGCAACCATCTCGGGCTCCATATTATGCTTGTCTGAGAAAAAAAAGGTTAAAGAGTATTTTTTGCAGTCTGAATACGGTAGCGATATCGAAGCGGAGAGCCTAAATAGCAAACAAACGGTGGAGAAGCAGACACATTTTCTCTGCGTCTCAACCTTTTTTTTCTCAGACAAGCACAATATTAAGCGGTTGTTCATCTAGGTAGAAAACGACCGAAAACGTATTTTGATATGTTCCTTTAAACTACCGTAACCTGAAGTCTTCGGAAAACAATATTTTAGGGTTTTCAGATGAAACGACTCTGGAAGAAAAGTTATGTTTTGTTATATTTTTGTGGTTGTAATGTTGAACTATCAATAAAAATTTTATTAGAACTTTCCAGAAACTTTCAACTTTTAAACCTATAACAGAAAAACCAGGAAAAGTCAATCATCAGTCATGGGATATTTTATATTCACAGATGGAAATAATAAATATTGAAACGAAACACAAAATCAGGCACTTATCACAGAATTGCAGAGTTTTCGATTCGAAAATTGCAGTTTGAAAAGAATGAGCATGAGACCATTGTTAGGAATATTTTGAGTGAGGGGAATTGAAAGAAGAAGATAAATTCGAGCAATTTGATTATACAGAAGTCTTCAACCCATGTAGATCCTCCGCACGGGCGTATTGTCCTTCTCTGAAAGTATATGCAGGTTTAGGAAGGATCTTTTGAATATATACTATTCTAGATCATTCCGGATACAAAATTATGAATGCTTGAGGTTTTTCACAAGTCACAAGCTACTTGAACTAAAGGTTTCATTCCATTTAGTTTAGGGGTTAATTGGTTGAAACTCATGAATGGTAAGTACTGAATACATGTACAATTACAACATTCAAACTTACATTAATCAATTTTCGTAGGTTCTAATCTGTAAAACTTACTCAAAAATCCTTAAGCTTCCACAGTCACTCTAATAAGGCCCCCCAACTTTGAGCTCATGTATATATTTCCTGGGAAATATATCAAAAAGTGGCCAACAAAATATTTTTGATCTTCTGATTAAAATTTTGTCAGTTAACTACTGTTTGAAATCTTTTACAAGAAATGAGATCCATGGGCTTAAAGTTGGCGGTTCGTGTGGCCTTCTATCAGAGTGTTTACGGTATTCAGAAAATTAAACCAACCTCGCTGGTGGATAGAAGTCATCATCTCTATATGTATCCGCATCGAATCGTTTCTCATTCAATGGTTCTGATTCGTTAATCGGATACTTCTTGCCTCCTCGACTTCCTGTCATTGAACTTCTGCTTGCCATATCCATTCCATTCTGTCTCCTATTCTCATTCGCTTCATTCAACTTCTTTTGTTTTACAATCCAGCAGCACAAGAAGATCAGGATAACAAAGACGATGACTCCGAGAATTCCGGCAATAATCGAAAGCCAGATCAAGAAATTCTCCATTTCTCTGGGTCTGCACCACGGTTGTTCTCCCTTGTTCCACTCGAATCTGTACTCGTTCAGGTTCGGACGATTTCTGTCCACTACAATTCCACATTTGTACTCATGAACTCCCTTAATCCAATGCGATTGGAAGCACTCGAAACGAGCAACATCTCCTTGCATGTAAGCGGAGGAAAGTGACGACGTCTTCATGAGATATTCTGGATATTCAATGTTGATCACTCCACAGCTGTTATCTGAAATTATATAGGATTCAGAACATTTTATGTTTTCTAAATATATTTTTACATTGTCTAGAGGCATCGAATCGATCAGAAGTGAAAGTGTTCCATTCATTTTTGACATTAAGTCCAAGAATCTTGGCGTTGAACATGGAATAATCGTAGAGACATGGAACAGAGTCACCACAATCTTGGATGACGGCTGCTGGATTATCAGGACATTGAGTGTGACCATAGTCCGCTGTCAATTGTGACTGCAGAGGTTGAAGGTTGACTGAAAATTTAAAAAATGAATTCCGAAAAATAAAATTAATAATTACTTGTATTGGATTGTTGCATATCTCTGCATGTCTGAAGTCTTTGATTCATAACTTGTCCAGTGACCGGATAGAAACGATAGGCCCCCCTGAAAACAACAATATAGGTCAGGTAATATGTTAGGAAGGAGTCCTTACGTTTCATATTTCGGTGATGTTTTGTAAATTGGTCCGCTCTTCATTTGAGCTTCAGGGAACACTTCGAACTTTTTATCCTCATCTCTGGAAGTTGTGAACATGTTCTCAGTTGGCATTCCGTAGTTGTTTCCTTGATTATTGATATTCTGATCGGATCCTTGCTCTCCTGATCCTTGAACTCGGTCTAAAAGAAAACATTATTTGCAGAAGGAAAATTTATACATGACGTACACATTTGGATAATTTGTTGTCTGTATTGTTCCGAGTTGACATCTTGCAAAGTCAACGTATTCATGTAACTGTTAGATGCTTGATCAGGGAATGGACGGAAGACTCCACTGACACGTGGAAGATTGTATCGTTGTCTCAATTCTTGTTCTCTCGTTTTGTCTCCATCTGGACGGACGCCATATTGAGGAGCCACAGAAACAGCAACATTCAGCATTCCCATAGACTCTTGGTATTCAGACAAACGATCAATATCGATGGCATAGGATTCACGGACACGGATTCCAATTTGTGCTTCTTCAAGAACCACATAGATTTCTGGCTGACCACGTTCAACATTGTTCACATAGACCATGACTCCTGGAATTCATAATATTTAGAACGTCTTCAGAATACGTCGAGATGCTTACCTTTGAACCTCTGGATTCTCATAGTGTCGAAATATCTGAGAATGTTTCCAACAATGATAGATGTTCTGTATCTGAATCGCCTCGTATCTTTTCTAGCAAGAACATGAACACGATCAGTTCCAGTTGCTTCCAAAACAACACCAGTCACAACTGTTGCATTTGTAGGTTGAACTAGATCTTGTTGAGCCATGTATCGACCGAGAAGACCTGAAAATTTGGATTCAATTTCATTTCTTCGACTTAATTCACTTACTGAAATCTACTCTTCTGTTTGGATATCTCTCCATTCGAATCTGTATTTTCACTTCTGGAGTTGCAACTGTTTTGGGAATATAGATACCGTTGTAAACTCCTGGTTCATTGAAAATGAATTTATCGTTGTCGATAGTATTGAATGTTCCAGCTCCCATAACTTCTCCCCATGCAGGTGGCTGATACTCTTGACATCCAGATGACGGACGTCTCCAATAGAACATTTGACATCGGAAGTCGGCAAATTTACAACAAAGGAAGTAAGGCATGTAGTCATTGTGGAAGGCTGAAAGCCCTGGAACTTCATATTGACCCATATACGGCGCCGTTCCAAATTCGTAAGCTCTCATTGGGAAACCAGGATTATAAGGTACGTCTGGAGTAACTTTGATGACAGGTTGATACGATGTCTGCATCAAATGTCCTGAATCATCATAACAGCACACTTGTCCATAATGAGTTGGGAAACGAGCAGTGTTTTCAGAAGTATATGATCTTCCATCACCGGCAAAAGTGGTCATGACATTTTGAGAGCTCATATAACAATTTCTGGACCCGATAGAAGTGGTACAAGTGATATCACGGAATGCCTGAGAACATCTTGGATGTGGCATGAATCTTCCAATATCAGCAATTGCTTGTCTTTCAATACACGGACAGGATGAATTGGTTTCAATGTCTCTGATGAAATTCCATTGAGCACCATCCTCATCGTACCAATCGTGGCACATTTCCAAAGACTTCTTCTTGACATATTCAGTACGAGCAGCTTCGTCGTTTGCAGAATACGTTGTGGTGGAGAATTGTGGGTTGTTGGAGGTCCAGAGGAAATGAAGAGAAATCGGAGATGAGACAAGTCTGAAAGTTAATAAAGGATTTATTGAGATGAAGTGTGTTTTGAAGCAACTAACCCAGAAAGTAGCAATTGAGGATTTTGTTCTTGATTTGGTTTCAATGGAGCTAACTTCAAGTATCCGAATCGGTACTGATACAATTCATTTTGTCGTTCCCAATCAGTCATGTACCATTGTTCGACTTGGAACAAATTGATTCTTTCTTCCTGTGGTTTCCAGCGATATTCATAAGTATTACGGTTGGAATATGTGGCCAATCTACAGATCACACGATGCTCGGGACGGAATTTTTTGATCTGAAAACAATCGTTATTTTTTCGAAGTTCTGAAAACCTAAACTTACGGTGTCATCCTTGTGCTCTCTGTATGCAATCACGTACAACCCAAGTTGCACACTGTACAATGAATCATCATTCATCCTGACTTGATCCATATGGAGACTCACATCTGGATTCGTGAAATTTCTCGGATACCAAACCAGAGGCATTGTTTGATA